CGCTTTGAATCAAGATTGAGTCTGTTTTTAGGTGTCACGCAGGATGGGCTTCATTCCAATACCGCTTTCCATTATGCTTATACGCGTCCTAAGTCAGACAATCACGTTACAAAGTAGAATGAGTATATTGATCTGCGGTGAGTTCTCATTTAGATTGCTAGCTAGTAGCGATTTTCAAATATTATTTTTTAGTAGTCGCTTGGTTAGTGTTGCTTTCTATCAAAATCTGCAATGGCATAGTTGTGCTTGGCAAGGCTTGCATCCATGTAACTGCTTATAGAGAGCTGCAGGTGAATTAAATTTAACTTTCGCTATACAGATATTCGCATATTTTCTGGCGCAGCATTAATTTTCTCGTTTAGGCTCGTGCGGAATACGATTTATATCGTAGGCGCATGGTTGAGAAAAAGAGTAAAAGCGTTCCAAATTCGCCAAAGATCAGCTTGGTGGATTTTTCAGGTAAAAAGCGTGTCCTCTGCTTGGCACTAAATCTCTGTTTTTGTATTCAGACGTTTTGCATCAAACGGCTGGAGTCAAGGGATACACAATCTCTGATCTTATCAACCAATGGGATGATCTTGAATTGACAAATGAAAGGAAAAGTGTGGAACGAGACCGCGACGAGCAACGGCCACCTCGCAGAACACAGAGTCTTGCTCAGATTGAGACCTGGTCAGAATCCGTTTTTTTCTTTCCGGCCATGCGAAAAGATCTGTTTTAGCCATAAACGAGACAAAAGCGAACCGCCCTCAGCCATACCCGAAGCTGAAGAGAAGTCTTCCAAGGACGATTCGTCAACTACTACAGAGAAGGGAGCGAAAGAGAAGGAAAAAGTCGAGTATGTTTTGGAATTTTTTTACTCACTTTTACTCCCTATATGGCCGAAATTTACATTACTAAAAGCTTTCTTATAGTGCTGGTCCAATAAGCCCAAAAAAGAAAATGGCACAACCTTCCACCGATTGCGAAGGGCTTGCCGATGTTACAGCATACAAGATGCTTCCAGCAGAGCAGGGAGTACAACGAATAGAATAATTTAGTGCTCAGGTGGATATTGATTGATTTCCAGTTGTCAATGCCATTGGTTCTTTGAAGACAGTGAATAGGCAAGACCCTTCTCACAAGGGAAAGGTCGAAGAGTCGTTTGCACACAAAACGTATGCCATCTCATGGAGCTTGGAGCGCTGATTGCAAATCTACTTTCGTTATCTGCAAAGCGCTTTTGGGAGAGACGTTATAAATTTTTTTGATGCAAGAATTCGAAGTGCCGCTGTAATAAAATCATCCAGAACTTTAATTCGTAAGCGCAAATGGGGCCCTAACTGCTACCACGGCACTTATACCTGCCATTGAATAAACTTACGCTGGTCAGTACCGCTTTCAAGCGTAGGAAAGACCTTAACACCTGTTCTTACCTTAGCCAAAAACTTGAATTTTTGCCTCAGAAAATTCCTGTGACTCCAGTCGCAGAAGCGCTTTACAGATATCAAAATCAGGTTTAGAGTTACTGTTCCCTCTATAAGATAGTACACATTTCATGTGGAAACGTCATTATGATCAAGTATCCTTCCCTTGTCAGATTTTAGCGAAGTGAGGTAGTAGATCCCCAACCCCTCAAATACATCGTAGCCCAAAGCCCACCTGCCAATTCATGCGCTAAGTCCTGAAAAATG